AAAAAAAAAAATGAAAAACAGAAAACTGCAACAAACAAAAAAAACAAAACGAAAACAACTCATTAAATCACGATTCAGTCGTATACTCCCTTATTAAAATTCTTTCCACCCAACCCCCACCCCCAATTCCACTTTCTAGGTGAGCTTCCTCTCATCCTCCGAGAAGACACAGGACGGACAAGGCATCTGCCCGAACAGTTCCGACTATAATAACGCCACGTCCCCAACCCATTCCCAACCCCCCATACCATAATGCAATATTATTATCTTCCCTCTCTAGGTGAGTCACCTCTCATCCCCCGAGAAGACAGATTATGGTCGCAGTATCTGCCCGTTACACAAACACACACTTACGCACCCATAAACACCCCCCCCCCCCGAAAAGAAAACGAAAATTTGTCCGCACTCCACCCTTCTCCACCCTTCCTCCCCTCATCAGGTGAGCCATCTATCAGCCGCCGAGAAGACAGAATATGGTCGCAGTATCTGCCGGTAACACAAACACATACATATGTACACATAAACACCCCCCCCCCCAACAAACAAACAAACAAACTAACAAACAAATAAAACAAAACACAAAAAACAAACGATTTTAAACCATAGTTCACCCTTGTACACACTTATCAAAATTTGATCCTCCTCGCATCAGGTAAGCCACCTTTCATCCTCCGAGAAGACAGAGGACGGCCGAGGCATCTGCCCGTACAGCCCCAACTATAACGCCACGGCCCTCATCACGTCCCGCGGAGACCTGTACGCTGCCACGGTCGTGGACTACTCGGCCCGAGACCCCGCCATCTCACGACAGCTGGGCAACTCACCCAGGCTCAGGACCATGAAGCAGCACACCAACTGGCTCAATGGTGGGTCTTGTTGGTGTTGTTCATGTTGATGTTATCGTTGTTGTTGTTGTCGTTGTTGTTGTTGATGTCGGGGTTTTTGTTGTTGTTTGTTGTTGTTTTTTGTTGTTGTTGTTTTTTGTTCTTGCTTTTTTTTTTGGGGGGGG